CATTGTAACGACTCAAGCTCATTGCTAACAGATTGTAACACCCTCAAAATGAAGGGAATTAACTCCAACAAGAATAAGTCGTCAATGTAAGACTCAAAGGATCAAAAGGGAAGAAATTAAAGGATTAGACAAGGACAAGAAACTTAAGCAAGTCACTCCTATACCCTAACAAGTAATCTTAAGGAGTTAAAAGGCCTTTGGAAAAAGGATTGGGGAGGAAAAAAAGTAAGTGAGAAAAGGACAAAAAAGTCATTTTAAATTACCAAGAATCTTTTCTTATTTTTAATTCCTTATCTAAAAGGAATTTTGAAGGGAAAAATGACTAACAAGGATGAATTTTTTAAAAAAGAATTATGGATTTTTTTTGAGAAAAGATAATAAAATATTTGGAAAGTGACAAATTACCAAAATACCCATGGAAGAAGGGATAATTAGAGAAATGCGACTTGATGAAAATAAGAGTATCTACGATAACCATCTGCACAAAATCGTTCGAAACTCAAATCACAGTCGTTGGATCTCCTCCTAAATTGGATAGGATCTAGAACACGCATAGATCATCACATCCAACGGTTAGTATTCAAAACAAAGGTCGGTAAGGCTCTAATCGGAGCTGATATTTCCGATAGATCATCTAGAAAGTTCAATCTTCAAATCACGATAATTCTGGAGCTCTCAATATTGGTTTAAACTCCTCCAAAGTCTGAAGTTGGGGCAAAAATATGGAATAAGAATCGAGAAAGATTGAACTCCCAATTGTAAGCCATAAGCTTTTAGATTTTGGGTCACCTACTCTTGGATTTCACCCAAATTCGAGAGAAATTCTCCATCATTTCCTTTCAAACTTGTTCCTATAGTTTCTAAACAAGATTACTCACAAGTTCTATGAAAGAATAGAGTGCTGAAACTACCTAGAAACCATTCCCCCAATCCAATCCGTCATTGAAGAGTTTTAAGGAAAACTTGAAAATTCAATCCGAGGATACACGATAATTCGTCAAGCAAGGATGATCCCAATAAGTTTTTGCACCTCCAAGGAATATTTCCATAGAAATCCTCGAAGAAAAATAACTGCATAAATGAGCTCAATTGAAGAAAATTAGTTTTGGGTTCAAATTGGGGGTAAGTATCAAATTCCTATCTACGGTCCCTTTTTCTTCGAATTGAGCAGTCCTTTAGCTTCAGAGGAAGAAATTGAGTAACTTTGATGAAGGAATCGAGAGCGAAAATTTTGTAAAACAAGCTACCTAGGAGATCGATTTTCTGATCTTTTGGGTAACTTTGAGACTGAGGCCAATTCTCCAAAATTGGGGTGTAATAGCCCAAATACATATACATATATATATAATATAAAAAATATAAACAAATAAAAAAAATATGCATCACAATAATAGTTATAATAATAATTCATAAATAAATAACTAAAAAATAATTACTTAAAAATAATAAAATAAAACTTATCCACGTCTCTCCACTAACCTCTCATCCCAATCTCATCTTCTCTCTCCTCAACTCACGACACATTATCACACAGTTAGTCCAAAAATAAATAGAAAATGTCAGAGCAAAAAGTAAAATGGCTTTCAGCCAGATCTCAGATTTAGAGATTTTGGTATGTTATTACAGTAAAATCATATCTCAGATTTCCTTTTCATATAAGCTATGGTAATAAGAAATTAATTTAGGATCCTATCATCTCTCTTTTATCCAATATTTTACTAGATTTTAAGGCAAACAATCGATTAAAATTGGCCAATAATATCTATTTAAAAAATAAACTGGAGGAATGTTGTTTAGAGAATGAAAATCTATTTATACAATCAGTAGTGAAGTGGGAAGATTGATGAAAGATTTGGTGAACATAATTTAAAAATAAAATCAGAAATATCAAAGGGGAAGAAACTCCATTAAATTTTATGCAGTAACAATATATTCCCTACCGTAATAATAGAAAATAAGATATTTAGTGAAAATAGCATTATATATATTTTTATTTAGTGAAAATAGCATTATATATATTCCCTACCGTAATAATAGAAAATAAGATATTTAGTGAAAATAGCATTATATATATTTTTATTTAGTGAAAATAGCATTATATATATTTCAAGACTTTTTAACAATGGACCAATGTAGATTAGAGATAATGTTGTAGAGTTCAAACTTGAAACTGATGTCATGGGATCACATAGGTTGACTCGGATTTCAAAGGACGGAATCAAACTTTCATTAAAGATATATTCGTGACAACGACTTAAGCTAGCTAGGTAGGTGGTCTTACTATCGGCATGATTATATTTGATGTTGACACGTGCTTGTGGTTCTGCACGTGTCATATATACTGATATGTGTGAATTATCTGTGAATCGGTATGCTTATATTATATTTATGTTATGTTATAATATGTGGATTGTATGATAATAATTATGGTATGATGTGTTCAAGGATATGTTTGAGATAGGATACGAGAATGATGCACAAAACGAAATCTAACGATAGGAGTAAGATACGTTCATGAAACGTTAGGGTTAGGTTACATACTGGAGTGTTATGGATATGGGAGATTGATGAAAGAATATGGTTAGAATATGGGTAGAAAGGGATAGGTTTGTGATAGATGGATAGAACGATTGTGTTAGGATACGTTCCTGTGATGATATGACTAAGGTACGTTCACGTAACGATATGACTGTGATAGGTATAAGAACGTTAAGGCTATGATAAGTTAGGGAATGATATGACATGTTTATGATACGATATATTGTGATGTGATATGTTATTTTTAGATTGCTTTGTGTGATCATTGAGGTAATTGTTGTATGAATTGCACGTTATGAAATGACATGTTAAAAGCATGAAGCGTTATGTTATGTTTTCTAAATTGTATGTATACAACATGTTATGAATGACATGATATCACGATAAATGAAATGAAATGTATCCCTGTTAGGATTATGTATGATACGTAGACTAAAAAATGAGAAATGACATGTTAAGTATGAAAGATGATAGCGGGGTTATCTTCATTAATGATAAAAGTAGAAATGTTGGGGATCTCACATTATATGTGCTCATGCATTTAGGGGGATTTCCCTATTATATCACGAGGATACGAACGTGTACATCAAATGACAGGACAACGATCGTTATGTTTTGCATAGCGCTGTCGTGACGATTACTAGTTCTAATGGGTGTCCGACCTAGGGAGCGTCCCAGTGTATGCTCGCCCGACAAGTAAGGTGGCCCAGCGATGTGCGAATTGACTGGTGAGCCCATACCCGCACGTATGGGTTGTGTGTAGAGTATATGGTACACGTTCAAATTACCCGACAGTACCGTAGGAAAATAGATTGAAAGGATAGGTCCCGTCATTGCATTCGCATGTTCTTGCATTTAACCCCAATAGTGGGGTCACTTACTAATTATTTCTTTCAATACTCAAGCCATGTGCTACTACATTTTTCAGGTTAAGGCAAGACATTCATGTATGGTTGACGACAGCACCGCAACTCGAGACCATAGCACATGCATAAGATAGTGATATTTATTTTCTTAGACTTAGGCTAGAATAGGATGTTTTTAACTTAAACGCTTATTTATTTTATTTAGTCTTTTGTTGTGTCGTTTTAAAGATGTTTTCGAAACACGCAAGTCCATGCCTGTGTTTTAAGATAAAGGTTATGTATTATGGAATTTAAATGAAGTCTTCTGCATTCAATGTTTATGGTACGTATACAGTAGCGACCTTAAATTAAGTAGAAAATTTTGGGTCGTTACATGGAAACATACACTTAAGGGCGTTCCTCCAAGAAAATTTTGGGTCGTTATATGGGGACACACACTCAAGGGCGTTCCTCCAAACCAATTCTTTTAGCTTGAGAAAAGGATATGGAAGAGGTTCCATGAAGAAATCGGACCTTGAAAACCCCTAGAATCGGCTACCCAATAAGAAATCCTCGTTTTTAGCACTGACGAGAAAATTAATTTTGAACAAACTTTGAAATCGATCCCTAGATCTTCCCTGTAACATCATCTTTAAGTTTCACGAAGAAATAGATGGGAGAAATGAAGTGATCAGAGGAGCTCAAGTTTCAAACATCGGCATGATGAAAACGCGTGTCTTCTTCCTCTCTTCTTCCTTTCCAGAGGAAGAAGACGATGACGTGGCCAGTTCAACTAAATTGGCCAAGTCAACTCAAAATCCGATCTTTCCTTGGTTTTTCTCAATTTTACTCCTTTCTCAGACTAGTTCTCATGAAAATGTTTATGGTTCCATAAACTAGATACAATAAGGAGCCTGTGGAGGAAAATTTGAAGTAATTTAGTGTAACGACCCGATTTTCGAGGGACTCGAGCGTCGGACTGTTACTCAATGACGTGAATAAGTGTAATAAAAATGCTTAAAATTTAAAACATTTAAACACAAACATGCAATTTGAAATTTAATTAAAATATAGTAATGAAAGTTCTTCTTTTATAGAGACGAGAAAGATATCACTAAAATACATGAGTATGATATCAAACGATTTAAAATACATGGAATGCAGGATTTAAAGGCAAAGCACAAAGAAGACTACCGACTCAAATGTGATGGGATTCTCTATAGCTAATAGCCCAAGTGTGCCCCGCTCGACTGCTACATCAAACTCCACCTGAAAAGAAAGTTGAAGGAGCAGGAATGAGTATATAAAATATACTCAGTAAGCAGCTTACTGGTAGTTCGTATTTCTTAGCTATGTCTTATTGATCTTATTCATCGTTTGGTATCTTATTATCTTTTGGGGATTTGTCCCCCTCGTATAGGCTCTTCCTAGGCCACACCCTAAATTTTCTCATTCTAGTTTCTCCTGGTTCATGGTCCTATCTAGACCTCCAGCCCTCGGAATACTCTTAAGTTCTCTCGGTCACCAGGCTAATTGTCTCTACTAGTCTCTTTTCTTCATCATCAAATCTCAAGGACCTCGAGGCGCAAACTCGATACTCAAGGTTCATGCATTTTAGGAATCGACCAACTCTCAAGTGTACTACTGTAGACCCCTGTCACTCGTGACAAGTTCACTTAAAAGAAACTAACTGGCAAGCTTCCTATCAGTCCCTACAAAGTACCATTAACAATAAAATGACCAGTTCTATAGTTACGCAGACTCCTGACATTCGAGTCAAGTTCACGATTAGAGGTTAGTTAGCGAAACCCCTAGTCGTCCTCGGATAACCACTAACTCATACGCATGAACAATAAATCTCGACCAACTCTAATGTACCAATGTGGACTCCTGTCACTCGTGACAGGTTCACTAATAGGAAATTAACTGGCAAACTTCCCACAAGTCCCCACAAGGTACCCTCAAGAATAAAATGGCCAATTCTATAGTTACGCGGACCCCTCACAATCGAGTCAGGTTTACGATTAGAGGTTAGTTGGCGAACCCCTAATCGTCCCCGAATAGCCACTAACTCATACGCATGAACAATAAATCTCAACCAACTCTAATGTACCAATGTGGACCCCTGTCACTCGTGACAGGTTCACTAATAGAAAATTAACTGGCAAACTTTCCACAAGTCCCCACAAGGTACCCTCAAGAATAAAATGGCCAATTCTATAGTTACGCGGGCCCCTCACAATCGAGTCAGGTTTACGATTAGAGGTTAGTTAGCAAACCACTAAATGTCCCTGGATAACCGCTAACTCATAGGCATGAGCAATATCACCTCGACCAACTCTAATGTACCACTATGGACTCCTGTCACTCGTGACAGGTTCACTAATAGGAAATTAACTAGCAAACTTCCCACAAGTCCCCACAAGGTACCCTCAAGAATAAAATGGCCAGTTCTATAGCTACGCAGACCCTTGACAATCGAGTCAGGTTTACGATTAGAGGTTAGTTGGCGAACCCCTAATCATCCCCGGATAACTGCTAACTCATAGGCATGAGCAATATCTCTTGACCAACTCTCTAATGTTCCAACGTGGACCCCTGTCACTCGTGACAGGTTCACTAATAGAAAATTAACTAGCAAACTTCCTATAAGTCCCCATAAGGTACCATCAACAATAAAATGACCAGTTCTATGGTTACGCGGACCCCTGACAATCGAGTTAGGTTTACGGTTGGGGTTAGTTGGCGAACCCCCAATCGTCCCCGGATAACCGCTAATACTGTAACATGCGTGACGGAGGCATAACTTAATGATCTAATAATGGAAAGCTAGTCATGAATCTCAGCTCATAAGGTGGTTGCATACGCGTTTCAGAAAAGTTTCAGCGAACATACATACTCACATTCATCATGTGTCATCTCAACTCATAGATTCTTATATCAAAATTTCATGCATATTATGAGCATAGTTAAATCCAAGGTTTCGAGGTGCCACTTACCTGAAAAGTGTGACACTTTTTGTTCGGATTTGCATCTCCCGAGGGTTCCAAAATTTGCCTAACTCCTAGGATAATTCTTACATCGGTGCAAAATGAGGAATATCATGAAAATGGTGACAAGATTGGAGTTAAAGCAGGTGAATTAAATCGAAAGAGTCAAACCGACCCAATTAAGTCGGGTCGGGTCAACTGGACCTCTACTTGGGTCGGGCCGACTGCCCCCGGTTCGCACGCCCATGGTGGGCAAGGCGGGACGCACGCGCTTGCATTGGCCGCACGCTGGCCAGCGCAAGACGCGAAACCCTTGTTTTCCCCCGACCCCTCCTTTTTCTTTCACTCACCTGTACATGCTCGTCGTCGGCTCGCCCTCTGATTCGTTTCCGACGCCCACAATCCTCCTCAAATCTCGTAGATCGTCCGCCCGCAAACGCATAGCAACTGAAATCGGGTCAATCCCATGAAGGTTAGGGGATGAATCTAACGGTAGAAGCTCTCAAAAACCCATGAACGGACCTTGGCGTTCTCCCTTCGTTCGACTTTCCTCTTCAGTTTGTATCCATCCGAAGTCGACTGCCGAACACCCGTGGATCTAGAGCTCAAGTTTCTCCGGCGAGCGTGGGTTTCAGTCTCCTACCTCCGGTGCCTTCTCCCTTCGACAAGTTGTAGTCCTACCTTCCTCGAACGGCCGGCCACACCTTAAGCCCACTCTCACCCCTTCTATTCCCGCGGGCTCAGATGAGGGATGGGATGTTGGGAGTGACTTGCTGCGCCTGTCATTTCCTTCTTTTTTCTTTTTCTCTTCTTTTATTTATTTTATTTATTTATTTATTTAGTTATACCTCCTTTGGACGGCTAGGTATTACATTTAGATATCGCAAGTTCAAGAACGGAAGTCCCGAACGTCGACGATGAGATAAGACCAATTTTTTCTTAAGAAATACTTGTAGGAATAACTTGTATTTTTATATAAACCCTAAACCAAGTATGAATTAAGGTTATAAGAAGGAAAAATCTAAAGAACCATAAGTTAAGACCTCGAACCAATCAAATTTCTTGGGATTTAGGTAACGTTAAAATAACTCATTAAATGAACTCTAATTATGTGCATATTATAGCATGTTGAGGTTTTGTATGAAATTTTGTGGTCATTGGATAAGGTTGAGTAGGAAAACCAAGCAATAGTAAAAAATGACCATAATGCCCCTACAAAAAACTACATGCAGGCTAAGCCCTAAATTACCTCCAAATATTATGAAATCTTGTATGAATCGTTATCTCAGGAAGTTGTATAACGTAATGAATTTTTGGAGTCATTGAAAAATGTTAGGTAGCGAAACAAAGATATGGGGTAAAACATTCATCACGATCCATACGACTTTACCTTCTATGATGACTAACGAGGTATCCATGAAGTAAGAGATTCCCCACATATACCCTTGGTCGCTAATAAGATTCTATGCGCACAAGATCATGTTGGGCTATTCCTAAAAATAACTTAAAAGTTCCAAGTTTAACCCAAGACAGTATGCATAAACTCTAGGATCACCAAGAATCAAATAGAACACCTAGGTTAATGCAAATATCATGCTTATCAAGTTGCTAGGATCCATGCCCGAAGTAACCATTATCTCCCCTTACAAAATTATCACGAGGCCCCTATCCCTCTTTAGGTGGGATGCCCAATATGTACCATGAGCCGGATGCCATGATGGACTTATTATTTCCCTCACCTAAATGAGAAACCCTGCATCATGATTTACCAACAAGATGCCACGATTATGACGACGCCATCTATGCACTTATGTGGAGAAAATTAAGGGTTACTTTGGAAGAGTTTTTAGGGCTAAAATATGATGCATGACATGAAAACCTCTAAGGTTTAGTTCCTGAAAACGAAACAAGAAGTCATATCCTACCTCAAGGTCTAGACATGTTCCAAATTACTAACGGTTTTCTGTAAGACCTATTCTAAATGACATGAGGATAAGTTCAAGATTTCATGTTGAATGGAGAAAGTTTGAAACATAAACTAAGATAGAATTTAAACGCCTAAAGGAAACACCTCAAGATTCAAGACCCTTCTAGAACCCTTTAAGGAATCCATTATGAATCTATAACCTTCTAGAATAACTCATGCTAGTTATTATGATGGATTCATATGATTACGAATGCATGTTACAAATTATGCCTCAAGGAATTACGAACCTTAAAAACTTACAAGATTGAGAACCAAGAATAATATCATACAAGCTCTACAATGAAAACCTCTAAGGTTTAGTTCCGGAAAACGAAAGCTTTTTTTGCATATCCTACCTCAAGGTCTAGACATGCTCCAAATTACTAACAGTTTTCTGTAAGGCTTATTCTAAATGACATGAGGTTAAGTTCAAGATTTCATGTTGATTGGACCAAGTTTGGAACATAAACTAAGATAGAACTTAAATGCCTAAAGGAAACACCTCAACTTAAACGCCAAGGTCCTCATACTAAAAAACTCAAGAATTCTAGGTAATAGTCTAAACATGTCCAATTGTGACTCATGACCTCCCACCACGCGGTGATTTCAGAGACCATGTTTCCTCTTCTAGGTGGGATACCATGCACCATGTTTCCTTGGCAGGATGTCATGATTTGGCCTCGTGTTTCTCTCACCTAGATGAGATGGCCTACACTATGTTATTGGGTACCCAAAGATTTGTAGGATGTCAGGTTCATGCATGCATCAATCACGTGACCTTTATAGTGTAACAACTCAGATCCACCGCAAGCAGATATTGTTCTCTTTGGGCTTTCCCTTTCGGGCTTCCCCTCAAGGCTTTAAGACGCGTCTGCTAGGGGAAGGTTTCCACACACCCTTATAAATTGTAACGACCAGAAATTTTCTACTTAATTTAAGGTCACTACTGTATACGTACCATAAACATTGAATGCGGAAGACTTTATTTAAATTCCATAAAACATAACCTTTAACTTATAACACAGTCATGGACTTACGTGTTTCCAAAACATCTTTAAAACGACACAACAAAAGACCAAAAATAAAATAAATAAGCATTTAAGTTTAAAACATCCTATTCTAGCCTAAGTCTAAGAAAATAAATACCACTATCCTATGCATGTGCCATAATCTCGAGTTGCGATGCCGTCGTTAGCCGTACAGGAATGCCTTGCTTTAACCTGAAAAATGTAGTAGCACAAGTCTTGAGTATTTAAAGAAATACTCAGTAAGTGACCTCACTATTGGGGTTAAATGCAACAATCACATGCAATGAAATGATGAGACCTATCTTTCATTTCGTTTCTTTTTCCCTACGATGCTGTCCTAACGGGTAATCGTGGACGTGTTCCATATAATCTACACACAACCCATACGTGCGAATATGGGCTCACCAGCTAGTTCACACACCGCTGGGCCACTATCCTTATCCGGTGGGCATACTCTGGGAGTCCCTTATGTCGGGACCCGTTAAAACTAGTAACCGTCACAGCAGCGCTATGCAACGCATAACGATCGTTGTCCTGCCATTGGATGTACGCGTCCATACCCTCGTGATGGGATAGGGGTATCTCCCAGATGCATGAACACACATAATGCATGAGATCCCCACTACTTCTACATTTATCATTAATGAACATAACCCCCTATCACGTTCCATGCTTCATGTCCTTCTCATTTTCAATTTACATTTCATACATATTCCTATCGGGGTTATGATGATTCCAGACAGTTTACCGTATTTCATGCCATACAATTCATGCTGTTTACATTCAAACATTCCATACAATCATGCCATAACCATTCAAGAACAGCATATTGTTACATGCATTACACATCATATCAGACTAAACACCATACATAGCATACATTCACGTTCATATGACTACGTACTTAAGCACAATAATCTAGCATACAACGTATCATATCATAAACAAGTCATAACGTAAACACTTCATAGTCATATCGTTCTCTAACTTACCATAGTCTTAACGTTCTTATACCTATCATAGACATATTATTACGTAACGTACCTTAGTCATATCATCACAAGAACGTATCTTAACGCTACCGTTCTATCAATCTATCACAAACGTATCCCTTTCTACCCATAACCTAACTGTATTCTTTCATCAATCTCTCCTATCCATAGCACTCCGGTATGTAACCTAACCTTAACGTTTCATGAACTTATCTTACTCCTATCATTACATTTCGTTTTGTGCATCCTTCTCATATCCTATCTCAAACATATCCTTGAGCACATCGTACCATAATTATTATCATACAATCCACATATTATAACATAACATAACATATAGGAAGCATATCGATCCATAGACAATTCACACATATTAATATATATGACACGTGCAGAACCACATGACACGTGTCAACATCAAATATAACCATGCCGATAGTAAGGTCACTTACCTGGCTCGCTTAAGTCGTTGTCACAAATATATCTTTAATGAAAGTTCGATTTCATCATTTGAAATTCGAGTCAACCTATATGAGCTCATGACATCAGTTTAAGTTTGAACCCTATAAAATTATTTCTCTAATTTACATTGGCCATCATAAAATTTTGATATTTTCTATTAGACAAAATTTAAAGGAGCTCACTGCCCTCTAATAATATTTATGTTTTATTGTTAAATCCGGTTCAATCGATCTTTCCAGGGTTTTCAATTGTGTAAACAGATATTACTACCCAATTTTAAGTCCATTGTTTGGCTACGATCTTATAATTTATAGATTTGCCAACTAAAATTTTATTGAATCTAACCTTATAACCTTCGTATAACTTAAAATGCTAACAAAAATCTAATCAATTGTATATGAGATCTGATTATTACAGACATGTTAAGATATGAAAGGAGATTTGATTATAAATTAATTTCTTATAACCATAACTATAAAGGAAAAGGAAATTTGAGATAGAATTTTAACGTAATAACTGACAATGCTAACAAAAATCTAATCAATTGTATATGTGATTTGATTAGTACAGACATGTTAAGATATGAAAGGAGATTTGATCATAAATTAATTTCTTATAACCATAACTGGGATCTGATTATTACAGACATGTTAAGATATGAAAGAAGATTTGATCATAAATTAATTTTTTATAACCATAACTATAAAGGAAAAGGAAATCTGAGATAAAATTTTACTAGAATAACTGACAATGCTAACAAAAATCTAATCAATTGTATATGAGAGCTGATTAATACAGACATGTTAAAGATATGAAAGGAGATTTGATCCTAAATTAATTTCTTATCATTATTACAGACATGTTAACATATGAAAGGAGATTTGATCCTAAATTAATTTTTTATAACAATTACTATAAAAGAAAAGAAAATTAGAGATAGAATTATATGTAATAACTGACAAAAATCTCTAAATCTGCCCTCTGCTTATATTCAAAGACAAAATCTTAACTGACAAAAATCTCTAAATCTGCCATCTGCTTATATTTAAAGCCAAAGCCTTAACTGAAAAAAATTTCTAAATCTGCCATCTGCTTTTATATTTTACTAATAACTAACAAAAATCTCTATATCTGCAATCAGCTTATATTTAAAGTCAAAGCCAAAGACTTAACTGACAAAAACCTCATTGTAATCTGCTTATATATGTATCTCCACAAAAATCTCTAAATCTGCAATATGCTTATATATTTTACCGTAATAACTGACAAATAAAGCTCCAGATTATATATTTTGCAGTAATAAGCCAAAGCCTTAACAGACAAAAATCTCTAAATC